GCCACGCATGTTCACAATGTTTTTACCTTCTTGGCAACTTCTGTTAACAACAAGGCTTAGCATGGTTAATTGACTCAGCTAAGGTCACACAGCAAGAGCACAGCAGGACATAATTTAAAATCACCTGATACTTCCATGATGTAGAGTGTGCCTAAGGAGAGTCACATGGAGAGAAAACATTCTTAGGCTTTCACAGAGAGCACATTGGCCAAGCAATGGCCGTGACTCATCCACACGGCTGACACTGACAAAGGTTCTACAATCTGAGGTACAAGATCTCAGGATAAATCCTGAGGGGGTTTCAGTGATCTTATCAGACCCAAAAACTACAACTCTTGTTGCATAGGTCCTGCTTTACCTTGGTCTTAATCATCCAGCAGAAAAGTATAAAAACGAAGTATAAGAAGTAAAGCCATGCTGTTATGTTGAGCTGTAGGGGACTCAGGTCAACAATTTCTGACACTGCCAGTGAAGCGGAAGACCCAATACTATTATGGACTACTGAACTCTTTTAGAATATTTTGCTGAAGGGCCGGGAAGATGGCTCTGTGGAATAAGTGCTTCCCTGGCAAAGCACAAGAGCCTGAGTTCAATCCCCAGTTCCACCAAAAAAAAAAAAAAAAAAAAAAAAAAAAGAATATTTTGCTGAGTTTACACACCTATCATATTTAAATGATGGAACTTAACAAAAAAAGGGGATACACATGAATGTCCATTTTGTATCTGTGTATTCAAAGTGGTTAGGATAGATATATAGTTACATTCTCTTAATGAAGAGGGATTTGCTCTAATGGTGTTTGTAAATAGGATATCAAGTCCGCATCTTGTACAGCAATTAACCACTAGGAAGAATGTATGCAATGTGTTAATTATTGAAACTGTCCTACCAATTTGGTTTGAAACTGTCTTATTGCTATTTGTTTCTCAATAAAATTATGGAAAAAAATTTTTTTAAAAATCACCTGATACTTAGTAGACATTACTCCATTACCTCTCAGTTTTGTTTTGTTTTTTTTTGACAGAGTCTTGTTATGTAGCATAGTTATGTTGAATAGTACAAACTTCTGATTCTCTAATCAAATTGGTGAGATAAGACAGAGGACCTAAAAACAGATACATATATTTTTCTGATGACTTGATTTTTTTTTTTTTTTTTTTTTTTCTGATTGAACTCAGGCCCTTGTGCTTGCCAGGCAAGCGCTTATTTAACTGAACTATCTCCTTAGCCCTGATGACTTGATTTTTAGCAAAGGTGACAAAGCAATCCAATAGGGAAGGAAAATCTTTTCACTAAGTAGAGCCAAAATAAAGTCGCTGAATATCCATACTGGGAAAAATGAACCATGACCCCACTACCTCACCAAAATGAGTTTGAGTTGGATTATAATTCCAAATGTAATAACTAAAAAGTACAGAGATTTTTGTCATTTTGTAAAAAACATAGGAGCATATCTTTGTGATATGTGGGCAGCCAAAGGTTTCCTTAGATCACAGAAAGCAATACTCCCCTTAGAAGATTCAACATTTAAGTCTATCAGAATTAAAAACTTGTCATGAAAAGATAGTATTAATAAGAAGAGTAATATCAAATGATATAAAGTAGCTTTATAAAACTAGGTTAATAGACATAAGGGTTTTTTCTTGTTTGATTCTGATAAAGTTCCTTGATAGGAATTTCTATAGCTTAAGAATGATTTATTTTGTCTGCGTCTTTAATCATTACAAATGCATTATGACACTCCATGGTTATTTCTGCTTGTGAATAAAGAAGTACACTTGTAAAAAAACAAAACAAAAACAAACCAAAACAACCCAAACTTCTGATTCTCCCAACTCAGCCCCCTGAGTGCTGAGATCAAAGGCTTGTACCTCCAGGCCTGGCTCAAAATTCTTAACAAACATTGTTTCAGGAAAACTCTGTCAGGCAAGGTGAATCTTTTCTGCCTTACATTTTATAAATATTTTCATTTTTTTTCCTCTATGGGCCATTCCCTTTTTCTTTTCTTTTCTTTTTTTTTTTTTGGAAACCGGGAATTGAACTCAGGTCCTTGTGCTTGCCAGGCAGGTGCTTCTTCCACTGAGCCATCTCCCCAGCCCTCCCTTTTTCCTTTTTCCTTTTTTTTTTTTGCTCTGAATGCCCTCAGGGGTGGTTTGGCTGGCTGGAGTGTTGTGGGGATCGAACTACAGCAATTTTTTTTTTTTAAATGCATATGGGTGAAACCACAGTCTTTCTTTTTTTTTTTTTTTTTTTTTTTTTCCGGAACCGGGGATTGAACTCAGACCCTTGCGCTTGCCAGGCAAGTGCTTATTCTACTGAGCCATCTCCCCGGCCCCATGCCGAGTCTTTGTTTTGTAAATGCTGCTGTCTACTTAAAAGTTGCCAAGTACATTTTAATATTTTAATAGTAATAACTTAATAGTATTATTTTAATAACTAAATATTTTAAAGTATTTATATATATATATATATATATATATATATATTTGTGTGTGTGTGTGTGGAACCGGGGATTGAACTCAGGCCCTTGCACTTGCCAGGCAAGTGCTTATTCTACTGAGCCGTCTCCCCGGCCCCCTAAGTATTTTAATTTTGATTAAAATTATACTATTCTGTCACCAAAGGAGACACTCCATTGCCTCAAAGAAGAGTAAGGACTCAGGATGACACCTGACGCTGAAGATGCCATTGCATAAGGAGAGGAAGAGCTGGGTTTGAGTCCCGACTGCCACAAATGAGTTCAGTGGGCAGATGACTTAAGAAAGCGAACCTCAAATTCCTTGCTCATTAAGTAAAGTAAAACCATCTCTCCCTGTACCCATCCCGTCCCATCCCTGCCTGTGCCCCAGATCACAGACTCAGATCTTCCCCAAAAGCCATTGCTGACCTTGGCTTCCCCTGGGTGGACCCCACCTCTTCGGCTGCAGCCCGGCTCCTGCACCTGCATTTCCTTGTAAGCTGACACACCCTTTCCCTCCAGCCTCCCTTCCTGCTGAGAACCCCTCCACAGGACCCACTCCTGCAGAGCGCCCAGCGCCCAGATTAAGGCAGCCTGTAGCAATAGACAGTAAGGTCCTCTTGGGAAGGGGCGCTAATTTAAGCTCCGCCCTCCTCACTCGAAGATCATCTGCCCCGGGCGAGCGTCTCTAAGGATTATAACGCAGCCGTCCTGGTTACACTCATTTCCCCCCGACCAAGGCCCAACTGTCCAGCCCCAGCAAACCAAGTTACACTTTCTTTGGCAAGAATTTTCCACTACCCGCCAATTCCCACTGCATCCCTCCCCGCCCACCTGTTAACATCGAAGAGAGACCGGCTTTCAACATTAAAGGTGTCCAAAGGTGGCCAGGAGGAGAAAGGCCCGCAGCAAAGTCCCTCCCGCCGGCTTCCTGCGTCCGGGGATTAGGAGGCACAGAGGGCCGGCGGGGAGAGCCCCAGATGGCCCGGAGAGGGGCTAAGCCGCCACAGGAACGCCGCCCACGGAGGCCGGTCACGGGAGCCCCGCTTCGCCTGCTCCCGGCCCCGGCGCCCAGCAAGTAAGTCCCGGGACTCCGCCTCCATCTCCGTCTCTCAAACGCCGCTCGGCTGGACACCTGTTCCCCTGCTCCCGAGATCAACGCTATAGGGCAAACGTAAACCCCAAGTTTGGTGATCGGGTGCGAACCAAGCAGAGAGTTCCCAGCGGCACTTTCCACAGGTGTCTTTCTCCCAGACTAGCCAAACTGCACCAGCGCGAGGCGGAGGAGAACGGGGTGCAGCCCGCCCTGCTGGGGAAGCCAGGGGCTCTCGGTCCTCTCCCGCAGTTGGACGCCCCAACAGGGCGGGCCGGGCTAGGTCGGACGAGCCCCACACTCACCTGGAATCCGGGCCGGACCCCCGACCAGGGCCCCCGCGTCCCTAGCCCCCAAGCCGCTCCGATCGCTCCGCCGCTCCGGCCCGCAGACTGCTGGGCGACCGCCTCCTTCCTGCTCACCTCCCGAGCGGGGAGCGGGGGCGGAGCTGCCGCTATTTACATAGAGGGCGAGCCAGCCCATCCGCTGAACTCAGAGAGCCCGCCCCGGGGCCCGCCCGGCCCCCAGCAGCCCGGCGCCTACTGGGCGGGGGCGCGGAGAGGGCACCTCGGAGGCGGGGGCCGCGCTCCAGCCAATTAGCGGCTCCCGGGGCGTAGGGGCGGAGCTGCGACCCGCCCAGGCCTCACCTGAGCACACCTGGCCGCAGGACGGCACGCCGCGCCCAGTGTCAAACCGCCTCCTAGAGAAAGTAGTTCCCGGCACCGGCGGCTGCAGCTGCCCTAGGCGTCTTTCTGACTTGGCTGCTAGCGGGAGTCGCCCATTGCCCCCGCGACTCGCCCGGAGCTGTCGAGCCGAGGACGGACGCAATCACACACGCAAACACACACACACACACACACACACACACAAATGGGGCTGCACCTCCTGAGAGCCACCACACACACACACACACACAAAGGAAGTGGACTCAGGGCCAGGTTTCAAGACCCCCAAAGCAAGGTCATAGGGGCTGAGAATCACGGCGCATTTCCCTTGGGAGGACAAGCCCCATTCCGTGTCTACTCAGGAGACAAGCAGGCACCCTAAGTTCCGTGGATCAGTGAAAAGACTGAAGCAAGAGATGGTACTCATGTGAGCAGTGATGCTGCAGTCCAAGAGGTGCAGAGCCCACAATAGAAGCCGCACCGCTGCTAGAGACGGATGTGGGCCACAACCACGTGGGTTTCTTGGCCACCCTTCCATGCCAACCTAGCACCGCTCAGGAACTACCAATGTTGCAGTGGCTTCACTCTCCAGGTACTTATCAAGAGCCCACAGACTGCTACTTCCTGTCCTCAGGGACAGCGGCAAGCTTGTGGGCAAGCAAGCTAGTGCACAAGCGTCCCTGCCCCGATCAGGGTTTCCTGCATCTGTAGATCTACGTCAGGAAGGGCAGCTCCCCCCGAGTGGGCAGGTGAAAGATCCAGTACATCCAGACAGGGTAGAAAAGAAATTGATTTTTAATGGCTTTGGCTTTATGGCATGAAACAGGCACCCTCTCATTAAAGGCACAGAGTCCTCATCTGCCCCTCCTCCTGGGCCTCTGAAAACCAGCCCTGAGTTCAAGGGGGTCACTGCAAGGCAACACTCTGAAGCTTGGGGTTAGGCAGCCCTGCAGGCAAGGCAGGGGGGCGGGGTAGGGAGCATGGTGTCACACTCTTTCAAGAACCAGACATCAGGGCCAAGGCCCGGACACCACAGATCAGAGTTGGGGTGTAAGGGCAGCTGAGATGGGCCCCGAGAATAAACTTCCTAGGTCCCCAACAGCAGGCTCCATCCCTCTGCCCCCACTGTCAGTGCTCCAGATCCATGGGCAGCATGAAGTCCCTGAAACTGTAGAAGGAGATATCGCCATGATCCACCAGGGCAAAGATCAGAGGGACATCCCCACTCTGGAAGGTCAACCTCTTGAGGCTGCAGAGGTCTGGGACAGGCTCATCAAATCTGTAGGGATAAGAGTTAGACTGAGACCTGGTCATAGCCCCCCACTCCCAATTAACCCCGAGACACGCCCCCAGGTTCCATGGAAGGGAGATATTAACAGACTGGGGGTGCAAAACCTCTGGTCCCTGGGTTCTCCTATTTACAAACTACTGACCAATGACTTCAAGAAAGCTCCAAGGTCCTGGCTGGGTAGGGACCTTGCTGGGAATAGCAAGATTCTCATCACCCTTAGCCTTTAAATCCTTCTAATCCACATCTCTTCTGGGTGAGCCCATGATTAATGTGACATAGGAGAGAGACTACTCAAAAATCCACAGTGAGGAACCCACGACTGGGAGACCTGGGATTCTACAGCACTGCCTGCGTGGCCTTAAGTAGGTCAATTAAGGGGGTCTGCCCCTTAGCTCAGTTGTTTAAGTGGCTGCTTCGAAAGCTGTCAGGCTCAGGTTGCTGTGGTTCGATCCCCACAACTCAAGTCAGCCAAACCTGCCCTGAAGGCCTGCGGAGCAAAAAAAAAAAAAAAAAGTAGGTCAATTAATAACCTCTCAGAACTTGGGTTCTTACAGATTGGCAAAGTGGCCTAGGGATGAAGGTGTGATGGAGAGACGGTCCATACAGTTCGCAGGTGACCAGGGCAGCCCAGGGGTAGTACTCCCTCATCTCATACCCACTAATGCACATCCGGGCGTAGGGCTTGCCAGGGCTGTTCTTTCGGAACGTGGCCACAGTGTCGGCCTGGTAAACATCAAAGCTGATCTCCAAGCCTCCAGGCTTCTCCAGCAGACTGAGAACAGAGTAAGAAACTGTAGGACAAGGACTCTCCTCTCCCACTTTCCTTTCCCTCCCCTATTTCTAGTAAGCAACCTCACCGAGGGGAACCAAGGCTGTGAGGTGCCATTTGAGGGGAAGGAACTCCCAACACTTGGGACAAAGCCACTAGCCTGCCATTCTTCCCTCTCCCCTAGACACACGAACACAAGCATTAGTAATCGATGAGCTAAGCACATGGGTGGGGGCCTCTAGCTTATACCCAACTGCAGCAGTCCAAATCCCCACTGTCATAATATCTGGCTGCCAACTGTCATGGAGAAGGGTACTGCTTGGAAACTTACCTGGCCCCACCGTCAGCAAGGTGTGTTGATCGCAGCACGGAGATAAGCTGAAGGGCTGCAGCTACAGGACAGTGAAAATGAGCTGCTGGAGGAGTCGGTCTGCTTTACACTCCCTTGGCACTGCATTAGCTGTTACCTTGGTTAGTGTTGCCAGACTTACCAATTTTTTTTGTTTTTGTAGTTTGTGTGTAGTACAAGGTTTGAACTTGGTACAGGAGCACTGTACCACTGAGCTACATCCCCAGCCCTATTACAATTTATTTATTTAATTACCTTGTGGGTGGGTGGGCCCAGGCATGTGTTACCACTCAGCTGTATTTCTACACTCGCAGTCCATTTTCCCTTATTTTGAGCCAGGATCTTGCTAAGTCACTAAATTGCCCAGGCTGGAATCAAACTTTACACTCAATTCATCCCCACTGTCCTAGGGCAATGGTGGCAAACCTGTAGCACATGTGCCAAAGCAGGCTGTTTGGAGCTTTAAAAGATTTGCCAACACTATCCTAGATTGTTGGGATTATAGGTGTGCACCACCATACCCAGTTAATTTCTTTTGAGGCAGGATCTCACTGTTTTTCCCAACATAGGCTAGAACTTACAATTCTACCTTGGCCTCCAGAGTACATGGGATTACACAGATGTACCAATACAACTGACACATTTTTAGAGTATGTCCGATGTAATATTTGGAACATACTTATGCTAAGAAATTAGCTATTGTTTATCCAAAATCAAATCATTTTCATTCAAAATCAACCTAGTTTTCTATGATCTATGTATCATATTCCCATAACTTTAAGTAGTTCTGAATCTGTCACATTTAGCCAAGGCCATTCCTGCCCTATCAGTCTCCTGGGCTTAAGATGGTGAGCAAACAGTGAGCCTATTAATTTTATCTGGATGGAACCCCCCATATTGCAGCCAGCTGGTATGGAAGGAGAAAGGATCACAGCTAGATATGGCAAAAACATCCAAGTGATCCTAGCTGATTATGGTTCGTGCCACACAACCCCCTCTGCTCCAGCACTGGAGACTGGATCCATGGCCTTTGCACTGAACTATATGCCCATTCCTCCAATTCCCTGAGAAGGGATCTAAATTATTAAACTGCCCAGATTAGCCTTGACCTTACAATCCTCCTGCCTCAGCCATCCTCAGTGGATGATAAGCATGTGCCACCATACCTGGCTTTGGCTATGGTTTCAAGGACAGTTTCCTGCCCTCCTTGCCTCTCCCTAGGCACTGACTCATCATCGGATACCTTGCCCTGCAGGCTTTGCTGTCAACAGAACTGTCTTTGTGAGGTTCACTGCAGTGGACAGCGCTCCCTTTCCACATCCTAAACCTCAATTAGTCCTAGGCAATCCAGGTCCTTTTCAAAGTCCATGAAGCCTCTGCTTCCAGTGGGCTGCAGGATTATAGCAGGGTTAAAGGGGTACCTGGGGAGTCTGCCCGGCCAGGGCTCAGCAAGGGAGTGACGGGCTGACCCCACAGGTGTAGGGCGGAGCTGGGTCTCTTCTGTAGGTGCCGCCTCTGCAGCAGTTCCTTGTACTCGCGCCAGCTGGAGCACTGCTGCACCTCAGGATCTGCGTTTATGTCTTCCCAGAATTGCCGGGCCTCTGCCTGTTGCTCTTGCTCCCGTCGGGAAAGCTTCTCCTTTCGCTGGTTCAGCTTCTGGCACCAGGACTCAGTGTCTGTCTCCCGCCCAGCAATGTTGGCCGGGAGCAGCTCTGGGGCTGGTGCAGCCAAGAGGGTGTGGCGGCTATCTGAAGCCATATTGGGGAAGCAGATCTGCTCAAAGTTCCAGCGTAGCTTACGAGCCCCCTTGACTCCATTCTCTGCTTTGCCACTGTCCTGGTCACACCCCCGGCCCTCTGGGGCCAGAACAGGGCAGGGCTCCAGGGATCCCAGAAGCTGAAGTGGGACCCCAAGGTCCTTCATGCAGCTTGACTCCTGGGGCTTCTCCACTGAGCACTGGCTGTTGTGGATGTTGGCAGGTGGGCTGGAAGCTGCCAGGCTTGTAGGTAGCAGGGATTCCTCCAGGACCTTGGCCTTCTTATTAATAGGCCTAAGGAACACGGGAGGAAAAGCAGCAGATTGCTAAGGTGGACATGTTCCACACAAGCTGAGGGAGGCAGGTCACTGGCCCTGAGCAGAGATGAGAACTGCCCCAGTACAGCCCTATACCCCACACACTCCCTGAGGGCCCAGGCGCCAGTACTCCCTGGGTGACAGTCATGGGGGGGCCAGTACCGAGAGCTGGTGCTCCTCTTCCTCTTGCCAGTCCCATCCTCTAGGTGCTGGGCATAGCCCTCCAAGTTGAGCTGCCTCTCATAAGGGGACAGGACAGAGCTGTAGGGTGAGAACAGCGGGCAGGCAACAGATCCACCTCCTCAGGTTGGTGTTCCTGGTGGGGGTTTGTAAGGGACTGGCCAAAAAGATAGGTCAGGAGCCAGAGTCAGAGCCACACCCAGAGGCTAAGGCTCTACACAGATCTGCATGGGTACAAAGAGGAGACCACAGGGGCCCGGTTAGGCCTTCTACCCAGGCCATTGGGTGTCATCGGTGGCACCTCTGAACAGAGGCTCATTACAACTGGGGCTCCTGAAGGGTCAATACGTGAATCATCAGTTGGGGTTTGGTGGGTATAGCTCCGTGGCAAAGCACTTGCTTTGGCATGTTCGGCTGAGGCCGAGCTCAAGTCCATGACCACAATAAATAAATAATCAATCCCTAACAAGAAATAATAAGAGGGTCCTCTTCCTGTAAGCGGCCTTAGGTGACCTGTGAAAATGGTTCGCTACTCTCTTGACCCAGAAAACCCCACAAAATCATGCAAATCAAGAGGCTCAAATCTTCGCGTTCACTTTAAGAACACGCGTGAAACTGCCCAGGCCATCAAGGGTATGCATATCCGAAAGGCCACCAAGTATCTCAAGGATGTCACATTAAAGAAGCAATGTGTACCATTCGGCGTTACAATGGTGGAGTTGGTAGGTGTGCCCAGGCCAAACAGTGGGGCTGGACACAGGGTTGGTGGCCCAAAAAGAGTGCTGAATTTTTGCTGCACATGCTTAAAAATGCAGAGAGTAATGCTGA